ACTATCAGTGGAATCAAGAACATTTACTTTTTTCTTTGTCCCCCCTGCCGGATCCGCCAGTAGACCACTAAGTACGAGTTTGTAGCGAGCCGAAGCAGCAATATAGGTAGGTATAGGACTGAAGTGATCAATTAGGTATTCGCTTTTTACGACACGAACTTCATTCACTTTATGTCGGGCCGACAAATTGTCAAAAAAAAAAAAACTAAAGCTCCGGCACGAATCTGACCAAAAATGTCGAAAAGAAAAGGCTGCGCTGGCAAACGATGCGTGTCTGGCGTTTATTTCTCTAGAATGAAAATAATTCCAAGATACCTCAATTTATATATATAAAAAATGCAATGCAAAATACCAATAATTAAAACATATCGTGGCATCTATGATACCATTCCTGCTATTCTTCATTCGACACGCGTGTCGAAGGCGTACGGTGTAGACTGCATCATGCAGACTGGCATAAGACGTTACTTTCATTTGCCGCACAAATAACTCCTGCGTCTCTCCCTCCTTCTCCGTCCTCCGACGTTCCCACCAAGGACCGCTGTCGTGCAGAGATCCGGCGGCCGCAGCGTCCCGAAAAGTGTCCCCGCCGTCTATTCAGGGGGAGAGAGGCGGAGTGTTATTATGTCCGGGATACTGTCGGCCACTAGGAGCTTGACTAGGAGCACATTGATTGTCGGGGGGGGGGGGGGTAGCCGTGTCCGGCTTATGCATCGGCGGCTCTCAACGTCCCTCCCCCCATGGGGGTGGGGGAGGTCCTATACCGAGAACACGTAATGAGCCGAGAAAACGCTGCCTGTCCCGTCCTGTCCCGTCCCGTCCGTCTCTTCCAATACCCGGACGGAACGGGTGAGACTAAATGCTTACTTCGAAATCTAAGCTGCGTTGCGGCATTGGCGGTTATGTGCGGCGTGTATGCCGCATGATTAGTAAGCGGCGACCACTAAATTAAAAACTCAATAGCTTTGACCTGTTTTCAATGGATAACACTGCATACCAAAAATGTCCATCGCTCTCGTCATAGGATATTAAGATTTAAATAACTAACTTATCTACATCATTGTTTTGAACCAAATTAATACTCAGCCGCGAACGTATAAGGTATAAGCCCTTGCCGTTTCGCTCCTGATCAAGCTAGAGCTTCGCGGAAAAAACGAGCGTGTTGCCCGTGACGAGAGAAAGCCGATGATACCCAATTTTAAGGTCCTAGGTCATCGGTTGACCTTCCAGGTCAGGTCAATGACCCAAAAGGCGGGAAAATTGGGACCTGTTAGAACGTCGTAGTGTGGTTGCTATGGGGTTTTTCGGGGTGCTGATCACGAATATCATGCTAGTTTTGATCACAGATGATGTCTTCATTCATTTAGGCCAGGTCGGGTTAGGTCAGGTCAGGTCAATAACCTAGTTATTTAAAGCTAAATATCTTATGACGAGAGCGGTTGACATTTTTGGTATGCAGTGTTATTCATTGAGAACCGGTCGGAGCGTTTGAGTCTTTAATTTAGTGGTCGCCGCTTACTAATCATGCCGCTTACTAATCATGCGGCATACACGCCGCACATAACCGCCAATGCCGCAACGCAGCTTAGATTTCGAAGTAAGCATTTAGTCCCACCCGACGGAACGGCCACAGCGGCATGGGTGTAGAGCATTATTTTGAAATGTGTCGGGACAGGGGGCATAGTAGGTACATAGATGGAAATATTTATATACACTGTGGAAATAACGATATTTCGTCTATAGTTCGTTTTTTCAAAAGGACTCTGGCTCCAAGTATGTTTTTCGAACAAGCAGGTGTTTTATCGACCAAAACGGGCAAAAACTGAACCTGAGAAACTCGAACGTCGCCTTATTTTAACATGTGAATTATTCCCGAAAAATTTCATACCTGCGTTTTGGAACAAGACATGAGAACAGTGGTGACGTCATGCTGTGGAACTTGTATTGCAATGTAATGCATAACTATCATGGAAAGAACTGCTTACTCGATTCGGGCCTCGGTAAGAGCAAAAACGAAGTTTTCCCAAAATTCGTTGGCAATGAATGCTTTCGTACGGACATTGGGTGCCAGCTGCCACCAGTGACGTCATCATAGTATGCACATTTTTGAAAACACAATTTCCATGTACGTACCGAGCACAATTTGAAATCGATCATTTTTTCGGCAAGAAATTCTTAGCCAGACGCTGAAGTTGCCAAAACTCACGTGAGAGCTTCGATAATGAACTTTGAGCCAGCGTCCTATTGAAAAAAACGAACTATAGCTACTAAAATGCCCATCTACGCTGGAGTACGAAAAACATCATCTCACGCGTTAAATGTACCTACATTTAAATTTGGACATGACCACGTTCTCATACAAAGGCTCTGTTATTTTCTGTGATCTGAGGCCTCTTGCACCAAACTACTTACCTAGGTAAATTCCGATTTTACCTAAATTCTCTTGCACCAAACTACCCACCAAAAAACGCTACCGTGAAAATCTACCTAGAAATTCTACCGAGCGGCATCGGAACTTACCAGTTGTTAAACTCCGACCGGCTGTTTTCCTCTTGCACCGAAAGCCGGAAAGAAGTACTCGCGGAGAAATTTTTGACGGTTTGACGGTAAACGCGGGCTTCCAAAATAACTAGCAAAACCTTAGGTAAAATGATTCAATTAGAAACAATAGGCACAATACACGATAATCCACGGGTACTTTTATGTAAATTAGGCATTACAAAATGTTTAGACAATGATAAATCAATGTTTTATGAGTGAATAATAATATAATTGACCAAATGCTCCATGGGTTCACAGAGGTGCTTCTCCGTACCAAGGCGATAAACCTCCGTAGCAGAACAGTCAGGTTGAAGACTCACTCGTTGCCATGGAAACGAAGCTTATTTGTTCAAGTAATTTAATATCAAAATAACTTCTATCGGTATTTACGTAAATGAAAAATGATTTCATAATACCAAAATGTATATTAATAAAAACAATATCAATTTAATTGTTTTCTTTAGTTACTATTTGTTTGCGCCCACAAATAATTCGTCGTCGAACAGCCAATCAAAACAAATCCTAAAAACGCGAGCTGTCAACTTTACCTAGGTAGGAAGGTAGGATGGTGCAAGAGAAGTTACCGCCGTAGGTAGTTTTACTAGGTAGGTATTTTGCCGGTTCTACCTAGCTAGGTATTTTGGTGCAAGAGGCCTCTGGACTAAACAAAAATTTATCCGGTGTCCTTTTTTATGTCGGGCTCCGTCATATATGCAGTCCAGATGACCACGCGATTGCTGAGATGGTCTCACAAGGATGCTTAGCGACTGATACCAACTGATAAGTGACAGAAATTGAAAGCTTACGGGAGTTCGGAGTCCATGACTTCTCTCACGGCTCTGGAATGGGAATGTAAGGGAATCATGTTCTATCCCACATCGTCTCCGACAGTCGACACGCATCAACACCGGCGGGTCAGCGGCGGTGGGGCTGATATCTAGAGATAGGTCATCACACTGATGCATGGGTGCCATGGATCACGCGCGTCTGACCTCCCTGGGTCGGGGCGGTGCGCTGTCAGAAGGCCACAGAGTCCAGAGACAGATCGGCTTCTTGTCGAGGGCTATACAGAGCCCCCAGAGACGGATCACTCCGTTGTGATGTCAGGCAGTAAGTACCTACTTATACTGTCATATTTATGGTCCATTGTAAGCTGAACGATATTAATATATCTGTTACGTTATGCATCTGGGCGCTAGATATTTGTAGCATATTGTATCTGAGGTATTTTGGGAAGGCTGAGATTATGGGTTACGTTTTTCACATGCCTACCTACATATACTCGTATTATGCGCCATGCCTGAAAAAGAACACTTTATATCGAGGTTCTTCGATGAAGTATTTGATAAGTTTATTAAAGCACTGTTTTGTGTACATCTCTTGCGATCTTTGAAACGGGTGATTATCTGATTTGTACTTTATTATGGATATTTTCCAGTTGAGAAGGAGAGAAAAACAAAAAAGGGCAATTACCCCTTTATCCCGACCCCTGCATCATTTCAATTGAAGGCCGTCGTTTCTTACGTCCCTGAACACATTCTCAATCATGTACATACATGACAATAAATGTTTTGTTTTTGGTGATAAGAAGACTCAGAACGCTTACACCATTTACCCAAGTTATTTTCATACAGACGTTGTTGCCAAGCCCCTTAGCCCCACACCGTTGTTGCAACTGTCAATCTTATGTCCGGATTACCGATTAGAAGCATTTGTTTTAAGGTTGTTTTTATTGTTTCAGATTGCACTGCACACTAACAATAATAACAACAGCTCAGGACAAACGGATAGGATATAGTGAATTCCAAATGAAGTCGGATACCGAGGCTAGTTGATGATGTTTGAAATATATATGTAATGTCGCGCCATGCGTTATCGCAATTATGTAACCTTTTTGTGTCATCTTTGAAATGCAGATAGGTATGCTACTTCATCTATCATGCAGCAACAGGGTCCAACTTTCGGCCGATCATGACCCCCAAAAACTTCTTTTTGCATAGTGATATTTAAAGCTGACTATTTTTAGGTAACAGAATGACTGAAAAGAAAGAGGGAGGAAGGAGGTCGTCGGTCGATCCTTCTGCGACCGTTCAGAAGCGAAGGTGCTCCAGCTTTCGACTAAGCCCCTCGCGGCGCATGTCCAGTCGGATTAACCATCGCGACGTGCATTAATGATCAAACACAACTAAATGAAGCTATTAGTGACGATAAGGCATCATAGAACCTGTCCTTGATTGAAATGGGCACGACCAAGTAGCTTAGCGTCCTTCCTTGCACACATTTCGAAAATCAATAAGGCGTATGCAGCAAGATATTTAGCCTTTGGAACGTCGGTGTTTTGCGCATTCACTATTCTGTTGAGACAGGTATAGGTGCATTTAGTGAGTGGCCTTTTTCATAAGCCATTAGCCATCGTTGACCTCTCTGCCTGTGCATTTACCGTTGATCTCCCGTTCCAGGTGAACAGATGGTGCGGCAGCGACCAGAGGAGTCCTTCAGCTCCGACCAGCACGGCAGCACCCTCCCCGCGCCATCAGAACCGGGGGGACCGGGACCGCCGAGCCGGACTGGCAGTAACCCTGCGGGGACAGACCGACTGCCGACCGCGGGCTCAGAGTGCCACCCTCCCGGGACTGCGGGGTCAGTGGCTAGCCCTCCCGAGCCCGCGGGGTCAGAGACAGTTTCGCTGCTGGCCGACTGCGGCCTGCGCAGCGGCCGGCCGCGGCGGCTGGTGCACCCGCTGGACGAGGGGATCGCCGGCAGTTTCGTGCAGTCGCTGTTGGTGGTGGCCGCCAGTCTGACGGTGGGTATCTGTCTGACGGTGTGCGCGCTGCTCGTGTACCCGGTGGCGGCGGCGGCGCGCCGGCTGGCCGCCGTCTGCAGCCACCACCTGCGCCAGTACCCGCTCAAACACCGGCTGAGCGTGGCGCTGGGACTGATGGCGCCGCAGGACGCCCAGTGGCTGCTCCCCGGCGGGCCCGTGCAGCCAGTCTACCAGGCGCTGCTCTTCTGCCCGGTGCCTTTCAGTCTGTCCTCCTTCCGCGCCGCTGTCGAGGGCCGGTTGCGCGTGCGGGCGGCCGCGGCGCCGGCCTCCGTGGGCCGCCTGTTCCAGAAGGTGGTGCCTGTGGCCGGGGGACTGGCCTGGGTGGACGACGAGAGGTTCAGTATCGAGTCGCACATCAGGGCCGGCCCGGAGCTGGCCAACACCGCCGAGCTGGGCCGCTTCGTGTCGTCGCGCCTGGTGCTGCCGCTGCCGGCGGACCGCCCCCTCTGGGAGGCCGTGGCACTGCCCCTGCCCGACTCAGAGGAGACGTGTGTCCTGCTGCGGGCGCATCAGGCCCTGTCGGACGGCGTCGGCCTGCTGCGGGTGCTCTGTCACGCGCTGGCCGACGCGCCGGCCGAGGAGGAGCACATGAAGCCGACGTTCGGCAGCCTCACCTACTCGTTGAACGTGCTGCGCGCGCTGTTCGTCACGCCCGTGACATTGGCGGAGTGGCTGGTGACCTCCCTGCGGCAGCGGAGGCCCGCGCCGGCCCTGCGCGACTGGCAGGACGCCGACGTCAGCCTCGGCTCGCTCAGCTGGGAGCACGTCTGTCAGGTGAAGCACGTGACGCGCCAGTCGGTGCACGAGATCCTGCTGGCGCTGACGGCTGGAGCCTTCAGAAGGGAGCTGCAGAGGGCTGGCCTGGCTATCCCGCCCGACCTCAAGGTAAGGCGATGGTATCTCGTAGACTGGTGTGATGTGAATCGGTTTGGTTATAGGATGAACCAATGCAGTTTTTAACAAACTTCGATGAAGATTCTCCTACGCACGCCTGGCAACTCTGAGCTTGAGCATCAAATCTTATTAATACATGTAGGTAGGTATAGTGCTGCGTAGATCCTATAGACGGCTGATGGCTGATGCGATGCACGCAATACTTGAAATTAGTTCCGATTCGAAGCCCTTACTTCTAACGCTGAAATAACTTCAATCAAATCATTGCCTCTTGCTTCCACAATCAACTCTGGGCAGCAGTGCATTGGAATGCTGAAATGCATTGCGTGCAGCATTGCACACGTTAATTGTGTGCTGTGGAATGTCAGCAGGCGTGTTACACAATGCTGCACCCACTGCGTCATTTAGACGCCCACCACGGGGCAAACATACAGTTACGGATCAATAGACGCTGTAGGACAACATCCTCGTATGAAGTGCAGTGCTTTCTAGGGTCTTTAGCACATTTTGGTGACACTATTGCTCGCTTATATTATATAAGTTTCAATGTTGCCATCCTGATATATGTAAAGGTAGGCACATTTCTTAATTAAGTTGCAGCAATTGTGTGAAGTTTAACATTAGCCATTAATGGCCTTTGTGGGAAATTTTATGCAGCTTTGCCACAAATCTTGCCGTTTTTCGCGGATAGAAAGCAAGTGTAATCGGCAGGAAAGGCATTGTTGCCCCCAACAATCAATATCTGTGTCGCATTGTGCGCACGAGATTTATGTTGTGCGTTCACCCGCGAGCGATGTGATGACGGACGGTGGGACGCGGGAGGCGCAATATCACGTCTCCGCAGCCCCGCAGCTCATTTCTCCTGTTGTCTGGGCGTTAATAGACGGTGTACACACCCAGTTATCACTCTCAGCACGCAGGCCGTGTCTCGGCGGGCTGCCGGCCGGGCGGGGCTAATGGGACGGGTCCACGAAATCCCCCCGCGCGTGGCGTGCGGCCCAAAGACGATCGGGGATCACCGGCGGCCGTATCAGGCTGATGAATGGCGCTCGTGTCGGCGGCCAGGGTCGCTGCTGCTGATTGGTGCAGAGGCGGCGGCTCTTTCTTTGGACGGGCTTTGCGGGATATAGAGCGGGAACAGATAGTGGGGTATCAGAAAGCAAGCCTTCTGCTATTTTACTCTGCACGCTACTTAAATGCAATATGCAGCAATTTTGATTACACGCTTCGTTGTAAACGGATTTTAAGTGATGAAAACCGTTGACATAACCCGGAAAGTCCTTGCAGTCTAATGAGAGCGGCATTTTGCCGTCATTTTAGCGATAATTCTAAATAGTTCTCAGAAGTTGAGAGATAGCAGATGCTGTAGAGCATCGAAGATTATTTCTGAAATGATATGTGTATTATGAAAATATCACACCATCTTGACAACTCAATGAGCAGTAAGCACATAGCACAGTATAATGTAAGCGAGATAGTCACCGTAAGTGCATCTGGGCACCCGATGATTAAATAAGCGACAAGCATCACATCCCTCATCGCATCAAATCTCCGTTATATACTTCTCAGTTCTGGCACTATGAAATATAGAGGACAGTGAGAGTGTCCAAGGCGCACTTACTCGAAAAAAGCAGCAGCAGACGGCCACTTCTATCTTTCACCGCGCCATTTGACTTCTCAATAATGCCTCGATATCACATAAATTCCCGCAGCATCACACCATCACTCCCCAATCACAGCGCACATAACAGACAAACACGACGCTCGCCACCTTCTAGCGCCGCCGCCCGAAGATGTTGAAGCCCCGGTTGACGGTCTGCGCTTGCGCGTTGGAGAGGTTGATGTTGCCGAAGGGGCTGTTGAGCTGCAGGTTGCTGGCCAGCGCCAGGCCTCCGGACAGCGACACACCGCCCGGGCTGTTGCGGTTCTGGGTGACGACGTTGGCGTTCACCTGGGTGATGCCGTTGTTGCCCTGCTGGCCGCGGATGACGTTGGCGTTGGCCCGACTGTTGGACCTGCCGCCGCCGCCGAGGAAGTTGCCGATGGTGTTGATGATGGGTCCGCCGAAGCCGCGCCGTCCGCCGCGGAAGCCGCGCCGTCCGCCGCGGAACCCGCCGAACTGAGGGGCCGCCTCACTCGTCACCAGCATGGCTGCCAGCACCAGGAAGAAGAGAGTCCGAACTGAAACTGGGAGAGACGGACGACACAGCCGGTCAGAACGTGGCCTGCCTCGACACTTCATTTCATTTAGGAACAAAATAACGTAGTTATTTAGTCATGAATAACGTAAGTTCGACAGACAGTAATTCATTTAGGATGAAATATTTCGATATTTCACTTAGGATAAAACACTGAAACATCCAAAGGCTTTAGCTTTAATAGCAAATGCATCTCTGCCAAGTTTAGAATAAATAATACAAATCTGCATCGCGTGATTTTTTTATGAGAGATGTTTTAGTGAGCTAATGAAAAGTTTGTTTCGTGTTTGTGACCTCCCCAATGTCCCAGCCAAACTCACCCATGCTGGTGCGCTGAAGCGGGCTGTGCGATGAGGGAGAGCTGGAGAGAAGGTCTGTTGAAGGTCCTGGCCGCCGCCCAGTTTTATGCGCGCCGCTCGGCCCGGCGGGCTCGTCTGGAATTCCCCTCCCCCCGGCTGGACGCGGCTGCGGCTGGGTGTGGCTGGGCCGAGCAGGGGAGGAAGTGGGGCGTGCCCCGCTCTCAGGACCCTGAGGAGGACTGGTGGACTGAGGTGGCCCCGAGCTGTAATTGGGACAGCCCGGACGTCTGACCGGCACCCTGTCAGGAATGTCCGGACCGGTGGGGGAGACTGAGCGGGAAGGCGACTCTGCGTCACACCGGTCCCTGTTTTAGTGAGGTGGACGGAGATATCGGGGCTCACGATAACCTTGACGAGTGAGCTGAGAATATACAAGTCACTAAAAGTTCACATACTCATTTACATATCTGATAGTTCCATCGGGCGGATGACCTTGTGAGTTGTGGTAAGTACCGTTTATCGATAACGAGCAAGAAGCACTGCGAGTTTCCTTAGATTGATAAAATAACGATTAACCGGAAACATACGTGTAATACACATGGTAGATGCATGCGTAAGTGCACACAATCACATACAATGTTTGGTAAGAGGGAAACACTTTTCGAACTGCCGAGACACTCCTTGTCTCTTCTGGTGTTTTACATATCGTTTTTCAGCAGCCATTCTTTTGTCGAACTTATATAAGTTTAACGACCTACTTGCTGATCCCCTTTAACTTAAACGTTACCAGCGTATGCGGTACAATTCTGATAGCTCATTCTGCTGCTCAAATGTATGCATGTATGTAATGTACTTGCCGTATGCATTGAGAGTACGTATGCCAAGGGGATGCCTACCTAATGTCGTTATTCGTAGTTACCTTTGATACTGTTCTACTATATCCCTGGAGTTCAAGGTAAGTACGACGCTTTATTTCATTGAAAATGTGATTTTGCCACTAATCGTTGATTGCGCAACGTCCCCTGTTGAGTTTGCTGTTGACAGGCAGCATATTTCTGAGGAACTCGAATAATTCGTCCTGTTTCCTTCGACCACACGCATTTTGCTCATTTTTCCCGAACACCGTTACAGAGTTGTGCAATGGGTCAAATGCCAAGTAAAGTTCATTGCGTTTGTTCGCTCGTATGCACAGAAGACAGCTCTGTTTTGAATAACTGACTAAATTCTTCAGAGTTCCCTAGGGTGAACTTGCCTTAGTAGGTCACAGGTTACTTGCCACACTTCATTACATACATTTTATGACAGGCTGCGCGCCTATACCGCTGCCCGTTCTGAAGAATGATGTTATTCGTGGGGTTTGTAGGTCTGCAATCTGCATTCCATCGATTGATTTCATCTTCAGCTATTCCGTGCGGGCTAATCGCCGTTTCACTCAAACTACCGGTATGATGCAAGCAAAGCATTTTTACAAAACGGGCTTTATATATCTATCCGAGTTCCTTTGTAGGCCACTACCTACTTCGTAAGCCTTGCTGACTGGGAATGTTCCAGGATGTAAGTACCGAACTGTGAATTTCCCGCTAGAATTGACAAAAAACGCACTCATACAGCTAGAAACGGCCTAGTTAGCTCCACTGGCACTTCATGACCGTCCGACTTCCCGTCACATGCCTACGTGAGTACTGCTCATGTTTGCGCCAATAGGGATAATAGTAAAGCAGCTGCAGTTAAACTCTGAGAGGAGGGTAGATGTTTATTCGTTTAAATAATGCGCAGCGTGCTTAGATGAAATGTCATTAATATAAGCATATACCGTAGAATAATGTTTTTAGATTGGTCGTCATTATTATATTCCATTGCGCATAAATTGCGCCAGTGCACTGGCGCAAATGAAATGTGCACTACCGAAATGTGTAACACTGCAGTGTTACACATTTCGGTACCTCGTGAAATGAGATGATACGACAGTCGCAGTCGACAGACGACATAAGTGCACTGCGTGAGCACCGTTTTGTACTTAAATCTACATTCCTGTTACACCGCGCCGGCTGACAATGAGCTGCGGAACTCACTTAGTGAGCTGTGAGCTTAGCGGGCTCACATAGGTCCTTCACACATCTTCAACACCAGCACTCAACCAACACACACCTGACAAACGGTAGCTAGCCTCTCTGGAAGAAGTTTCCGAAGCTCTGTCCCTGGTTGACGGTCTGCGCCTGCGCGTTGGAGAGGTTGATGTTGCCGAAGGGACTGTTGAGCTGCAGGTTGCTGGCCAGCGCTATGCCTCCGGACAGCGACACACCGTTTGGGTTGTTCTGGTTCTGGTTGACGACATTGGCGTTCACCTGGGTGATGCCGGTGTTGCCCTGCTGGCCCTGAATGACGTTGGCGTTGGCCTGTGTGTTCGAACCGCCGCTGTTGAAGCCGCCGTTGTTGAAATTGTTGAAGCGGTTAGGACGGAACCTGTTAACCCGCGAGTTGCTGGGGGGGGGGGGGGCGTTAAACGCCCCCACTTTTTTCGCCGGGCCATAGCATAAAAACGGCGCGCCGCAGGCGCGCCAAATTTTGGGTACCTGTAGGGAATTGATTGAAGTTTATTGTGACAAAGTTTCAAAAAAATCGGTCGGAAAATTTTTGAGATATCGAGGTTTTAGTGACGTCATGATTTCTGAGTTTTCGACCAAAAACGGCATATGTTCAAAAAATCATATAAAATCACAAAATAGACATATAGACATGCCGTAAACGCCATTAGACTGCCAATACCATGGAGAATCAAATGGCTATCTTCGATTATTGATTATCGTTCGGCATTTTCCAAAATCTTGAACTGAATCTTGGCAATTTCTCGTGACTACTTCACGACCATGATACATGAATTTCTTAAATTGAACTTTTTTAGCCAAACACGTACACATATGATAAAATGAATGTCACCATCGTGTTCTACGCCCCAAATTACCCATAAAACATGTGTCACAGGCTGCGAATATCAGTTTTGATTTTCGGGGATTTGTGCCTGCCCGGTTGACCTGACCTTGACCCTGACCTATGCTTGACTGACCCCTGCATGGAGCTGACACTCTTGTAGGCCTTATATGATGGATTGTGCACCGTTTTGACAGAGTTTATGACGAAAGGCGCCCATTGCGAAGTCCTGAAGTCCATGCCACTGAAAGCCCGATTTTAGGTGTTTGACCTGACCTTGACCTGACCTGTGACCTCAAAATTCAACTTAAAAGTACTCATCTGAAGCGTCTCGTCGCGTTCTTTCGTTTGCCGCCTCGTGCGTTTCGCTGCGCCTATTGGTTCTCGAGTTATCGGCTGGGGGCGTTTAACGCCCCCCCCCCCCAGCAAACGGTGGGTGGCGAAATACCCCAGCAACTGCCGGGTTAACGAAGCTGCTGGGCCTCTGGAAGCGGCGCCGGTTGTTGTTGAAGCGCCGCCGGCCGCCGAAGAACCTTCTCTGGGGGGCCGCCTCACTCGCCACCAGCATGGCCACCAGGACGAGAACAAGCAGAGTCCGAGCTGAAATCGGAGACAGCGCCGTCAGCACCGCGGGGGACGGGTGGGAGACCGGGGCGGGCCAGTCGTCAAGTTCACACCACTCGGTATGTGGCACGCATGGCGTTCATTGTTCAAGGAGCTGACTGAGCCAGTATGAGATGCGTTACTGGCGCAACAACTGAAGCGTGGATGATGGTAGTTATCTTTTAAACGTTAATCGGTGCTTTCGTTTCAGCCTTTTAAATAGCTTGCTTTTCTTAAATAGCATGCTTTGATCACAAAAGATGAATGAAAATCGTTATAGGTATATCCTGATCGGACATGAAGCAAGATGGACCAGCCGAATGCGCTCAGTTTTGCCTCTGCAGACTCGTTCTGTAGTTAATCATGCTATTGTTTTGTCTTGCTGACAACAGATCACGGCTCCCAGTTTAGACGACCATCACGTGTCTGACCCACACGGTCGGCCGTGAACGTGACCTCCGGGTCCGAGCTTTGACCCGGCTGAGTGCTGGGTTTTACCCGGCCATCTCCGGGGCTCAGTCCGGCGGCAGCACTCGTCCATCATCTCTCCTCCACTCGGGGCGTCCAGCGGTGCACCTCCGACTGCGAGGAGAGCCGCCGCGGGGCTCGGCCAGCGCCTGACCTTGGGTACGCTCGTCGAGTGTTCTCCCGACTCGATAGTCCTCCACGCTACGCCGCGCCCCGGGCCGTAAAAACCGGACAGGGAAGAGGAACAGCTCGCGATACTCGCGATCTATCGCGGGCATGAAAACCAGAACTGCCAGTCGATCGGTCCTGCCGGCTGTGGTTAAAAGCTTGATGTTTATGACGGGATGATGGGCTACCACCTGATGGCTGCCACATGATGGGCTGCCACCTTATCGTGATTTCAGCCGTGGTTCTGGATGACGGTGGAAAGCTTGGGAGACAAAGGATAGCCATTGTGCTAAAGTGATCAAACCGCGAGTTATATAACATCTTTGACGGATGCTGTGCTCATCAAGGTTCCTGCAGTTAACATACCTCCGTGTCACTTTCGGATCTCGGTGCTTGCTGCAGCGACTCAGAGACGTTCAAAGGAGGGTGAGCTGGTGGTTCCGGAACCATTAATCACCCTCTGGAAGCCGCGGGCTCACGCCGATGCCGGACCAGCGCGAGGGAAAAACGGTCACCGTTAGTGTGACCTCGTAAGCTCAGCCCGGGACGGGTTTTCCATCCATGAATATCAAGAGCTGGGACGTCTCGAAGAGGAAGTGGGGATTCAGTCCCCAACAGCTGAGTGGTGGGGACAAAGAAGCACAGCTTTTCCAACTATGCGTATGTGCTGTGTGAAAGGATGTCTGCCGTCCACACCAAGTTAGTTAAACCTACTGGTAACTTTGCCATAAAGAATAGGAAACTGGGCCGTAGCAAAATATGTTGATGAGTCGAAGAACATACCTATGGGCCTCTCGGCCCTATTGAGATTCGCTCGGTGGCATGGTGTTTACCTTGGCCACAATCCATACTGAGCGCGTGGCGTCGATCCAGTCTGGACCGCGGACTGCATGGGTGCCCCGGTGCAGGGCAATGTGTCGTATAAAGTCAGGCGAAAGAAGCCATCCCCTTGTGGTTCCAAACGCCTTACCATTGGCGTTGAAGTATTTAAAATACCCTTTTATAGAAATGACAGTTAAAACATCCGTCATATTTTGAATTCGTCTACATATAAATGTCATGGTCTTTAAGTTAAAGTCATTTGAAGAGAATGCAAAAAAATCTTCGATCTTAAAAGGCACTCGAAAATTACTTAGTCTGGCGTACCCACACATTTGTTTCAGTTTTGAAGCACAAATAAGATAAACGTTTTAAGTTCCTTCGGAAGAGACCAACCACTCACAAAGCTCACAGTATTGCACAGTATTGCACTTCTAAGTGCAATACTCGAACCCTAACCACATTTTACGCCTTCCATCTAGTCGCTGGAAAAAACACCTCTCGGCACCACTCTAACCTGACCCGGATGTCCGCGCAGCAGGGAGCGCACCATTGCACTGCACTGCACCACCGGCCGCGGCGCTCGGCCTCTCTCTCGGTCCGGTCACTCACCCATCGCGGTGCGCTGAGGCGAACAGAGGTGACCGTCGGGTTCTTCCAGCAGCGGGCGTACAACTGAGGCGCTGCCGGCCGGCCGGGCGCGTTTTAACAGGGCCCCCGGGCTGCAGAGAGGTGCTGCCCCGCCGGGCACGGGATTCCCATACCTGGGTGAGCCGCAGTGACGCGGACACGCACTGAGGCAGGTGGACGGCGAGCGTGGCGACGACGGGGAAATACAGAGGACTGACGCCGACTGATTAGGTGAGATATTGGTAGAAAACGACAAGGAAACGACAAGAAACGACAAACTAACACGATGTATGGAGCAGGGAAACGACAACAAACAACATCGAACTACATGAACCCTGAAATGATACCAAGAAGCGTGAAATCATTGGCAAAACGGCATCGTCGAGCTAATGGCAGTCGGGAGGTAGGACGGGAACTGGTGAAAATAATCAGAAACGGGGGACAGTAAGCTTCCGCTGAACCCTTGGACTGAGCAGCCTGTGACTAAAAATAACCGACCACGTGGAGATCGGCTTTGCGCTGTTTTAAATCAACCGATACCGATAAAAACCGATAAAATCAACCGTTTTAGTTGGTTATTGGGCTAGCAGGGGAGGCCGGTTGGCCGGCGGCCGATGAGACGCCACCGTCCCGACCTGGCAGGTGGAGCGTCTCACTGCGGGGGTCTGTCCCAGAGGGATAGAGAACCCCTCTGCCGTCCGTGGCCGGCAGTGCCGCGTCTCGCTGTGGGGGCCTGTCTGCGGGGCCGCGGCCCTCTATTTGAGGACGCCGGGACTACTGCTAGGTCTGTGACAGGATAAGGCGCTGGTATGTGACCACGCTACCGTTCTGGGCCCTCACCGCCTTCCGGCGGCGAGGTGTGAGTCTGCCTGGAGGTTTGGTTTGGTGTGCACGCAAAGTGAATACATTGGTAACTTTAAACTATGATACATTTTAATTAGCCTAAATTCATTCATCTATTTACTGTTTAAGTCGCTGGGGCGTCCTAGCCGAAAAGTAAAACATCTGATTTGGTACGCGTTATTGTACCGCTGCCGGGTATCAGTGAATTTTTTTTCCTGCGATACCGGCTGCTAATCTATCATATATATAAATTTTAATAATAAAAACGTTACGGTAAATGCATGAAGGTCGCGCAGAATACAGACTAAGCGCATAAGCTGACCGGCAGTCACGCATAGCAAACACAGCTTAATTACTGCACATACCTGTGGGTTGTGGAACATCCCACAGGACTGGAACTGTGATCCCGTACAAAGTCGAACCTCGTTCATATGATGATCTAATAACGTGGACCTAATTTGGTCGCATCCCCAGCTAACAGTACCAACACAAGAAAAGACACCTGAAAGATCTTCTTCCCAGCGAGGCAGTCCAGCGCCACACTATACCTGTATGTAGCCGATCTCGGATTCCACTCTCCCCCCCCCCGTTCCACCTTCCTCCGTCTGGGTTTCCCAGCCCCGCTCCGCTCCATCTCCAACGCCCCAAAAGCGGCATGACGTCTGAGGCCTGAGGTCCGAGGTGGAAACCAATGACGCCGCCTGGAACCGGCGAGGAAAGAAGAGGGGGAGGGGGATTGGGGGATTGAACTGAGAGGGATAGAATTGTGGGGGATAGAAAGTGAAGCTTATTGCATACATGGATAAAAACAATCGAAATATACAAATCTTGAAACAGGCAGTTGTGAATCATAAAAGAGACATCAAATATAACAGCCTGGCTGGTAAATGGTAGCATCAATCATAGCTAGGTATGACCGTGAAAAAGATGTGTTTCCCTGAGCATGTAAACGACCATGCGGTTAGTAAAAGTGAGCGGGGCTTGTGGATAGCCGCCGTCGCCGCATTTATTCCAGAACCTTGAGAACCTCATGCTCCTCTTGCATGCTTGGTGGTTGCAATGCTGTTCCGGTGTTCAGCTTTTGATTTAATGACTGGTTCAAAGCTAACTCTTTCATGCAATGCTTATATATTTTTTTCGATTTTATATAGTTGTAGATAAGTAAAGCCGATTGAAAGATATCTATGTCAATAAGGTTCATTTCACACCTCGCATAGGTCTAACGGTATGTTTGTTATCTTACCACGTGGGCTTCACTCCAGCATGCCCGGATGGAACTGAGCCTTTCGCCTAGAAAATCTCACATTTTAATCGTACTTGGCACTTGGTACTTAAATCGTGATCAAGCCTAAAATAGAATATGTTTTTGAGACAAGAGATCCGTGATATGTGATGCACAAATTGTAAGAACTAAACCGTTGGTAAAGCGTGCAAAGAGATAAACAATATAGGTAACAACAACTCTTTAACCTTGCCGATCTCTCGACTGAATCCGTCTGTCGCCGACCGTAACGAGCCTCTGGTGGAGGCTGGGACATTTCTTGTAGCGGAGGAAAACGTATAGTTATTAATTGCTCTTTTTATTTTTTTAACCTCAGTCATAGATGAGCCTCACTCTCAGTTTTCTTGATAAATATCAAAATCTCGCGTGCTAAGTCAGAAATTAATCACCGTCAATACAGCACCAATATTGCTTTTTAAAGCAGGAAATCGGAACAAGTTTATAAAGTGAACGTAGCGGAGGGACTAAGCTGTTGTGTCTGAGCGTCTTACCGACACGGAGGCTCGCGCCGATCGGCCGCAGCTCTCAAGGACCCGGTCGGAGTTACGGGGACAGTCTCACCGCGATATAAACCACTGGGCAGTGTCGGGGACCGCCGGTGCAGCTCCCAGCTCGTCCGCTGACACTCCGCCGGGCCGGCTGACCTTGCGGAAGCCGTGGGCGCACGGTGGACGCGGTTACTGCCTTGTCGCGGGCGTCTGTACAGCTGCAACGCCCTTGACGGCGGGATGCAGCGAAGGAACGGGAAGGCCGCCTGGCCCTGCGGAAATGGCCTGGAGCCAGCACGCCAGGGTCCAAATAAATACTGCAATGGTTCGAGTGGTTATGTCAGATCGTCACGGTACCAATGAGATCTCGTCGCTCAAATTACACGCCATTATTGGCCCAGATAAATGACGTTGATGTCTAGGCATGCCGCAACGTCAGGCTGATGGGTCATTGCGATCGCTGGGCGGTCTACCAGCCTGTCGATAACACTGCGGTGCCTACACATTTATACAATATGTGCGCTTGTCCAGCTACTGCACCGGAAAATTCATATTGCTTTGTTCATTTTGTTACATTACATAAGTACATATAGGTAGGTAATTGGGAAGACCTAGCCCGGCTTGTTCTTCGATGGTCATTGGTAGCAAATGGTCGTTACCATTTTCTCGACCAATTGTTTTAATCTTTGTCAACCGTGACTCACACTCACGTGTGGCTGCCCAGTCAATACCGTCTCACAGCGGCCGTCCCGCAGGTGGCCACGCCGGTGGACCTGCGGCACCACGAGGCTGCCGGCGGCGACGCGCGCCTCGCCAACACCTTCTCCCTGTCGCACGTGCCGCTACCGACGCGCACTGAGGGCGCCGTGCCGCGACTCTGGGCCGCTCGCCGTGTCATGGATGACCTGAAGACGTCGGCAGACAGGGCCGTCAGCCGGCTGCTGACACGTGCCTTCTATACGCTGCTGCCGGCCTCCTGGGCGCACCGGCTGGCGCAGCGCTCGCTGCTGCTGCCATCTACCGTGCTGCTGGCGAACCTCGCCGGCCCCGAGGCTCCCATTCAGGTGGGTAGCTCGGGTTACGGACAAAAGTACGTATCGCTAAAGTACGTAGGACAAAAGTACGTAAGCAAAAGTACGTAGGATTAAAGTACGTATCGCAAAAGTACGTACAGTATAAAGTACGTATGGACAAAAGTACGTCAGGGACAAAAGTACGTATCGCAGAAGTACGTACAATATAAAGTACGTATGGACAAAAGTGCGTCAAGGACAAAAGTACGTATCGCAGAAGTACGTCCAGTATAAAGTACGTATGGACAAAAGTACGTCAGGGACAAAAGTACGTATCGCAGAAGTACGTACTGTATAAAGTACGTATGGACAAAAGTACGTCAGGGACAAAAGTACGTATCGCAGAAGTACGTAGGGCATAAAGTACGTATGGAAAAAAGTACGTCACGGACAAAAGTACGTATAGCTAATGTACGTAGGGTAAAAAGTACGTATGGACAAAAGTACGTCACGGACAAAAGTAGGTACGTCACGGACAAAAGTACGTATCGCAGAAGTACGTAGGGTATAAAGTACGAATGGGCAAAAGTACGTCACGTACAAAAGCCTACGCTTAGCAAATGTACGTAGGGTATAAAGCCTTGGGCAAGACGCCCCAGATAATTTATTTTGCTAGATAGGTACCTACTTTGGTCTCACATCACCTGGAAGGCCAAATTTGTGCTCAATGTGTTCTTTGGACATTTTACTTTAAATTCCACCCTTCAAATTCATTCACTTATGATCGGACTCCCAGCTAGGAAGTGCTTTATGAAGCAACTGCAAATGGGGCATTTTCCCCCAACCCCAGGGCAAAACGCCCCACGGCCTGAGGCAAGAGGCCCCATACACTAGACCCTCGCGGGCCCGGGGGGCGTTTTTCGCCCCCCCCCCCGGCAAATATTTGCGATAGCTCCCGAACGCTTAGGGATAGGATAGGAAAGCGAAACTTTCAGTACCTTTTCTCCCATCAATTTGACATCTTCTGAAGAAAAAGAAATTGGACCTAGCCACATTGATGACGTCACAAAGTCGATTTTTCTAGACCCCTGCACGGCAAACTTCGGTGTCACAGACGCGAACTTCAAATAGCTGCTAAAAATAGTTTTAGAGATAAAGACAAATTACGAGCACGGTTGTGTAGCGTTTGACCTAGAGAAAAATACAAAATTAGTTTTAGTGACCTGAGGTCAGAACTCAGAGGTCAGGTCAACGACCCCAAGCTGTGGTTTTAGTTTTTCGCAAATAACTTCGACAAAAATGGTCCTAGAGCTACGTAGCTACGAGCTACGGCAGTGGTACCATCGCATTTGCCTTGTCAAGCCGCGTCGAACGATATATATTTTGTTTGGAAAAGGGCAAGTTTTATGTTGACCTCATGTGACCTCGAATGACCTTTGGTTGACCTTGACACATCAAAAGTCGTTTATGATGGATTCGTACCCGCTGATCACGAATCTGGCATCTATTTTCCTCTAAGCCTTTATTTAGAGCCCCCGGATGGCAAAATTGTCTTATTTATTATTACTACCTTAAATCAGTGAAATAGCCTCTAGCAAGGACTCTCTTCTGTGACCTTGACCTTTGAGCAGCCTTGTATCGTAAGATGAACCACAAATAGGGACCTGATAAGCCTCAAAACATTTCAAAACATCTTGGAAGTTGACACGCAAGATGTACGAAAAAGTGCAAAGTTTGAGGTCAATTTTGAGCATGACCTTGACCTTGACCTTTGATGTTGAGCACATTTTCGGAGTTCTCAGATTCTCTTCTTTCGTTTGACACCCAATTTTGCCGGTTTTATGCATCCTTGCATCCTGCCGTCCTCTAGAACGCTCACTTTGAGATCACTACACATGTGGCCGGTTTTTGCCTTTGACCTTGACCTCTGACCTTGGAAATTGACCTGAGGTAAAAAATTTTGGGTGCTTTAGAATCGTCTCGTAAGGACCTTTCGTTTGGTATTGCTTTTGTTTGCGTAGCTCCCTTATTTACGGAGTTAGATAGGGGGGGGGGGGCGAAAACGCCCCTCCCCGGGCTGCGGTGGTTGGAATTACCCCCCGGGCCCGGCCGGGTTACCAGAAGAGAGGATCTTTCCCCAGAACCCTGCCAGTTCCGAGAAACATCGGTGAGGCGTTTTACCTCGGCGGGGCGACTTGCCCCGGTTTACCCTACGTGTGGACAAAAGTGCCTACGTCACGGACAAAAGTACGTATAGCAAATGTACGTAGGGTATTAAGTACGTACCCCACCCTTGGGTTAAGTTGATCAATGTGTAATACCTTTCTTATTCTTTATTTAATGAGCATTTGCTACAAGGCAAAGCAAAATTTCTCGATGAGTAAATGGGCAAAATGGACAAAGCTATATTATTTGGTATATGTATGAATTTATCATGAGTTCCCTGTAGTATGGCAACAGAACAGCAATAAAGAAAAAGTGGCTCAACTTACACTACTATACCCTACTTCTAGCATACGTACTTTATACACTACGTACTTTGGCATACGAACCGTACGTACTTTTGGCATACGTACTTTTTACACTAAATACGTACTTTTGCATACGAATTTTTGCGTACGAACATTTGCGTACGTACTTTTGGCATACGTACTTTATACACTACGTACTTTTGCATACGTACTTTTGCATACGAACATTTGCGTACGTACTTTTGGCATACGTAATTTATACACTACGTACTTTTGCATACGAACTTTTGCGTACGAACATTTACGTACGTACTTTTGGCATACGTACATTTTACACTACGTACTTTTGCATACGTATTTTTGCGTACGAACATTTGCGTACGTACTTTTGGCATACGTACTTTATGCACTACGTACTTTTTCATACGTACTTTTGCGTACGAACATTTGCGTACGTACTTTTGACATACGTACTTTATGCACTACGTACTTTTGCATACGTACTTTTGCGTACGAACATTTGCGTACGTACTTTTGGCATACGAACTTTATCGCCTACGTATATTTGCGTACGAACATTTGCATACGTACTTTTGTCCTACGTACTTTAGCGATACGTACTTTAGTCCTAAAATCGGGTAGCTCTCACGTCGGTGTTCACTGTGCCTTGTTAAATGTTCGTACTTGTGGGTTTAGATGGGATGGGCTTAGAATTCACATGGGAGTCTCGAGCCAAGGTCATGCCCGCAAGCGGTTCTCGCTATTATGGAGTGGTGTGCAATGTGCACACCTTTTAACGTGCATTAGCGTTACGAGTGCTGGAAATAGCCCCATCCTCAATGCAATGCGTAGATAACAGCGGAAATAGTCACAACACCATCTAACGTTAAGCCGCTCTCTCCGTTTCTGACTACACAGTACACATGTAGTTAAATGAGGATTCCCTTCATGCAGCTCCCTACGTACGATTATATATTTTTTACATGTTCATTGTTCATATATGCCGGCATACCAAATTTTCGTTCACATTTGCCTTGAAAGTCTTTGACAATGACAGTTATTGGCAAGCACCAGCGGATTCGGCCTTAATAGCTCCCAAAGTTCATGCAAATATTTCGTTTCTGTATTAAATTCAGACCGGTTTCGAATCACAAGATTCATCTTCAGTGACAGAACTATTTTTAAATTGATACAGGACACATCTTCAAACACACTTTTGATAATGAAATATATCGCACACGCACATGCAATAGTTCGAATTCAGCAATAGTTCGAATTCAGCTTCATATTACTTTTGATTCCATCAAAAGAAAAACTCTATTTCGTTTCTTTCATTTGAATTTTTTTGTGGTAAGTTAACTTTCCTCTATGATAGTTACCACTGACCGAACAGAAAAATTCCGAGTTTAGCTAATAAGGAATTAATCAGTTTATGAACAAACGTTTGCTTTTTTATCGTAAAAAGTTATCAGCATACCCCTTCCGTGGGGCAAATAAGCTGCTTTGCACATATAAAATGAAAACGAATTCCCTGGGGCGCCAGTCCTCCTCTGACCGGGTGAACACTGGACGCATAGCGCCCGTTCAGTTGCAGCACCGGGACGCAGACTGAGAGAGGCGATAAATGCTGTGCCGCAAAGCACCTACGCTCGCGGCACAGTCTACCCTCGGTAAATATCCAGAAAATGATCCGACTGAGCTGTCAGAATTCGTTCGGGGGCAGGACGGACAACGTCAATGCCCGCTAATACTTGAGCTTGTTGTTGTTTTTTTGTTTGTTTGTTTTATGCTCTGCCGTTTGGTAACACCTCTCCTAGGTGAATCGTGAATGTCTCATCCTTTGTTTACTTACAGCAGTATCTTCCTACAATCTTCTGACAGTTGCATTGAAATCGTCTTCAAATAGCGTTTTAGTCGAATGCTTGCACCATAGGACGGTGACCTACTTCTTCGGCAGATCGACTGTTATTAAGATGTTTCATCCATGGGTGGAGAACCTGCCCCGGCCACCCCGGCCGTGGCCGGGGTAACTTTCAGCCTACCCCGGCGCGGCCGGGGTAACTTTTACACTCTTGTAAATCCTAGAAGCTGTCTCCAAACGAGAAAAGAAAACTCGTTCTTCAAATGTTCACTGCCATGGGGATGGGCGTAATATTGCAAATCAGGTAACTATTTGCTTAACATACCATAATCTCCAACCCCAGGACCCGCGTGTGGTCGCCAATGCTGCTCTCAAATCGGGTTCAGTTTCGAAAATTTGGCGCGTTTTCGGCGCACTTTTTCTGAAACAATGCTTGACCTCGCTGCCTTTGACTGGCCTGCCAGTGCCAAAGAACGCAACCATACCTGTTTATAAGCGTACTTGTCAGGATGCTCATAAACACCGAGCGTCCGTTGCACGCTTCGAAATCGGACTGTTGTAACCGGGACGCGTACTCTTGCCACGCGGAGTCCAACGCTCTACCGACTGAGCTGCGAGACCGGGACCGGTCGATATTCCTGGATCAACTCCCTGTTTGTTTTATAGGAGGTTGAGCTGCCCAACATTGAAGAAGGCTGCGTAAGGAGTTTGCTTATGATGACCGTTGACAACAATGTGAGCATATCGTCTCCGACTATTGGTCGCCGGCCGGGGTAACTTTTTCAAACATTCTCCACCCATGGTTTCATCCGTCATTTCCTATCGATCGACAAATACGATAATGTTTTTCTCATGTCCTATCAAGATCATGAGGCGATAACCTACATTTAACACTTATATATAGTAAATATGCCTCTTTCCTCAATAAGGCAGGTGTCATCATATGCGGTAAATTTCTATTATTGATGTGAGTGTATACTTTTCCGTGAATTGAACACATGTTTGGTGAGGCGACTCCACCGTGAGACCCAGAACATCTATCTGTGCCCTCCCTCTGTCGCGGTGCAACATACCACTGCTGTCTTTACGCCCGGTGCCTGCTCCCCCCCCCGCCGCCAGCTCGGTGGATGCCAGGTGCGCGCCATGTTCACGCTGATGCCGCCACCGGCGTCAGCGCACGCCTCCATCAGCGTCATCACGTACGGCGACACGGTGAACGTCTGTGTAGTAAGCCGGGCTGCCGGTGGCGGCCGGCCCGCGCGCCGCCTCCTCACCGAGCTCCGCAGACAGGTCAGTGGCGCTGTGACGTCACTGGGTCAGTGGCGATGTGACGTCACCGGGTCAGTTGGCTGTGGCGTCACCAGATCGGTGGGATGGCGTCAGTTTTGTGCAGCGCTGGCCGCAGAAGCGTCGGATTATTTGCCGTTGTTGAGCGTAAAAAGGTAATGAATTTAGAGCCACTCTGGTCTTTTTCGGGTAGGGATGAGCATATGCATGTTGGAGTAACCACTGGATTTGTTTTCTAGCTGATGATCGTGCATACCGTCCCCCTATGGGGCTCTGACTCGGCCCGTCTGTGAGATGCTGTCAGGGCCCGTCTGTGAGACTCTGCAACTGGATCCGTTTGCGGGCCTCCGACTGTGTCCGTTTTTCCAGCTGAGGACCATGTACCGCTTACTCCGTCACCGCCGGTGCAGCAGGGACGGCGGCAGAGCGACTCTCAGTCCCAACAGCTCGCCCGCGCCGGCCAGGTCAACACACGAGGTCAGTGGGCGACCCGGCCAGGTCAACACACGAGGTCAGTAGGTGACCCGGCCAGGTCAACACACGAGGTCAGTGAGCGACCCGACCAGGTCAACACACGAGGTCAGTGGGCGACCCGGCCAGGTCAACACACGAGGTCAGTGGGCGTCCCGGCCAGGTCAACACACGAAGTCAGTCGGTAGCGCGGCCGGCGAGCAACATAGCCCCAGTCTATACACTAACACGGGATCAGTTTGTAATGCTGCAGAATGGATGCAATGACCGATCCATTGGGGGGGGGGGGGCTATCAACGATTGACGCAACCGTATGCGTCAGATTTAGTCGTTTTTCACCCCGTGCAAAAACAAAAAAAAAAATAATTATAAGGAGAGAGGATTTGATAATTTGTAATAAAGCCCAATTTGACAATAATTTTGAGATATAATTAAGTAAAGTAGCCTTACTCAGACAATTTTAACATACAATTGTAAGAAAAGGTCTGATAATTTTGAGGAGCTCCTCAGAATTATCAGGCCTTTTCTTAAGTTTTTTATGTTAATTACGAGAGTAAGGCTACTTTTCTTGATTATATGTTTAAGCATGTCTCTCAAAACAGTGCTTACAACAAAACAGACTAAAAATGTTGAGAAACTGATTAGGAAGAATCTCATCAGCAGTCTTTTATAGGACCCTCTTTCTGGATCCGTACATAAATGGCTGAAAGAGCTATTTTAGAGGTTCATCTACGAAATACTTACTAGATAAATATTCATAAATCATAATGCCTGGTGTTGCAACCCATTATCCATCAAATGTAAATTCGAGACTCGAGTATAATACAATGGTCAATTATAGGACTCATTTCCATGCTGGAGACGATTTGAAACGATAACGCTTCGGCGTCATCTTCTGGAGGCACCGTTAGGTAAAGGTTATAGCGACTCACTTCGGTCGCTATTTTTTGGCGGGGGCTCTGGAAAAGGTTTTAGAGAGCCAGAGAGGAGTGCCAGATCCCTCAGCCGCCGACGGGGCAGGCTTGGGAAAACACTCCAGAACTGTAGTGCGGTTCGGCACGGCTGAAGGAGGGGGACGTCCGAGAAAGAAAAACATTTGGGACGAAAGCGGCCCGGTCGATACAGAAGAGTCGAAGAGGTCACGGAGCGGCTTGCTACTCCTCTCCGCTGTCACTACTTATACTATACATGGGCACCTATTTCTGCATCTCAAATTGTTTATGCTGACACTAAAGACAAGAATATTTTTTCTTTATTACAAGCTTCTGCACGCTGGCACTAAGAAAACAAAGATGGTTCGACGAAGACCGTCTGGCGTCTATACCCACACATTTTTTTTCAGTACTTCTACAGCCTCTAACGTTTTTTTTTTATAAATATTTTCACCGCATCTGGATCTCTTTCTGCCTTCTGGGACCTTTTCTGGGCCGTTTTAGCTTTCAGTAAAATTTAGGTATATGATGGTTAGGGTTTACTAAAATGTTTACTAAATACCGGGCCTGTCTAGTTTCTGACGCGCTCTGACGGGTCACTCTGTGCTGTCGACAGCTGCAGGAGCGGCTGAGTGGGGTGCAGAGTCAGCTGCAGGCGTTACGAGCGACATCCACCGCCGACGACTCGGAACAGGAGCTGTGTGAGGACCGGCAGCACGCGGCGCGCCTGCAGCGCGAGTTTGCTGAACTGCTGACGGAGCTGCAGCGGCGCCGCTCTCCACTAGGTGGCGGCGCCGTCGTCACCTGCGAGGTGAGAGGTGGCGTCAGAGCTCACCGTCTGCCGGTGTGTGTGTGCTTACCAAGTTCAGAGAGCACTTACGGGTGCTCACTGAATCAACATCATTATTAAGTCAACATTATGATGAAGCGAATACTAGCCAGGGAACTAAAAAGAGCGGAACATTAAGTTTACACGTACCTTAGTAAGTCTGGCTCTCCGTTGCCGGCGTTGCCACCAGTGTCCAGGAAGCCTAGAAAGGCACCGGTGGCATGTAATTATACCTACCAAGCTTACTTAGGATGGCTTTCCCCAGTTTACTCGGAGCAAGCACAATGCTAAATAAGTCTATGTTCGCTTGATATAGAAGTGAGGAGGCATTCGCACACAAAGAAACATCCCTACAAATAGATTGACAGGCAGACAGACAGCGAGGACAGCGACCGTCACAGTCTGCCATGTAGACGGACTAGCAGACAGTGGCTGACCTGGGCTGGTGTGCCATGTCAGGCGGAGGCGGCAGAGGTGGAGCTGCGCCGGCCCAAAAAGCTGACGGTCGTGTCTCGCCAGAGCTCCACCAGTTCAGCCTCGTCCCAGAGCAGGCCGCTACCGTTCGGCGACGCCGAGGACCTACGGTGAGCAGAGAGGGAGAGGGAGACGGAGACGGAGACGGAGAGGGAGAGGGAGAGGAAGCGGGAGAGGGAGAGGGAGAGGGAGAGGGAGAGGGAGAGGGAGAGGGAGAGGGAGAGGAATAGGAAGTGGAAGATGAAGAGGAGGAGGAAGAGGAAGAGGGAGAGGGAGAGGGAGAGTGATGGGAAGCGAATGTCAACATTTTTTTTTTGGCTCGCTGGATGGAGCCTACAAGAATAACAACAATCACCAGCATTTATAGACACAGGGTCATAAATGCAATATGCATTTAATTGTCAAAGCGGAGTTGTACTTCCCTGTGTCACAAGTAAAACCTGGCTCTTTAGCAGATCACTAAAATGGCAAAAGTGTGTTTCGATCTTGACTGATATTCGTGGTGCGGATTCGTCACGCAGACCGAGGCTGGTAGACCCCTGGCTTATAAGGTTTATTCCGCGACATTTAACGCGGTGCTCATGGTTGTGATGCTCCTAGGTCGATGGGCTCGATGACATCGGTGTCATCGGATGCCTCTGTGCGCGGCAGTCCCCTTGCGCGACAGCCGGCCGCTCCGGGGCACGGGCCGGTCAGGAGCGTCGCCCAGACCCACGGGAGCGTCGCCCAGACCCACGGGCCGGCCAGGAGCGTCAGCCTGGCGCACGGGCCAATCAGGAGCGCGGCCCACCCTGTGTCTCAGTTCAGTCCACCGGTGCAGCAGCGCTCCTGACACCCCGTGACCTTCCACCGGTGCAGCAGCGCTTCTGACACCCCATGACCTGAACAGCAAACCGCTGCCGCTGCCACTCGCTCCGCGGATGTGGCGGCGCTACTGCTGACTCTATAATGTGCATTTTAATACAGATTAGTGAATTAATGCCTACTCGTATGCTGTGACATTCCCAATTCATGCATTGATCAATAAATGCAGCATGTTTAAAATAGATCCGACGCATGACAAGAATTAGGAGCAGCTGTTTTAACTGGACATTAGTATACACCGCCCAGTGCATTCGCTGAGAATTTGTCGTTTTGAAGGTTGCCGTACACAAATTTAAATTTGTAAGCGGCTCTATGACTCTAGTCTCTATGTAAAATTGAATTGTAACACTTTTGTAGCGCTTATTGCGGCGGCGTCCGTTGACCTACGGTGATCAATATTTCAGGGTGTGTCAACATAGCTCGTATTAGATTTTGAGCATGATGCAGCTTGGGGTGCGCCCTTGGCGCGTGCTCACGTGCACCATAAGGTGAACATTGGAAACGGCTAAAACAGACTATTGCTTGGAAACGGTAAGGGCTACGGAGGCGAACTTTTCGCTACAGGCGTTGGACGCGTGCACTCATTTGTCGTATCAACTTTTCGAGGGGTGAGGTCAGCGGTTTTGATTTGGTGGGCGTGTTGGTGGAGCTTCTCCAGGGAAGTTGGTGGGGCAAAAAGTCGTCAAACCTACAATGTCCGATTATTAAGATAAATACAATGGCAATGCTACACTGAATCAATTCTTTTCATCACAGAGGTAACATTTTACATTACAAAGACATTAAGCTCCGCAATTGCAATACGAAAAAAAATTATTAAAGAATTATAAAAAAGAAAAAAGATTTATAACAAAATCCTACAAATCAGCCAATGTTGGTGGGGCCAAGATTCTTACAGATAAGATTGGGACACCAGTCACGTGACCCTTTTTCCTGCTTTTCCCAACCCTCCTCACGTTTTCATAAACCTTGATTTATTCTTTGAAACACTTTGCGCAGAGGCGTTTGTAGTTAATTTATTTACAAAAACTAATTCAATGATATTTGAAATGAACAAACACATATTTACTCGCAATCTCAAACAAAAGTTGAATTTATTCGCGTTTCATTAGATTAATCAGCTGGCAGCCATCATCCATATTCCATCGTCCTCGATGTAGTCGAACTTGGCGCACTCGGATAGTGTTCGAAATTTGTGACGCTTACTAGTTGCTATGGCGACCGGGCAGTACCTACGCTTTTCATTCGTCAACAAGTGCTCGCGGTCACACTTTTGAACACAGTCTTTATGCGTCAGTTTGTGTGACGCGTCATATCTAAAACACATTTCGTGAGCCTCCAAAGCCATTCAATTCATCTCCTTCAAAAGAAGTGTTTTGTATTATTTTCGATATCTTTTTTTGGGCTTAATTGCTAGCTCCATTCATCGTATCTTGCGTGAGGATAGTCATCACTCGGGGACCAGTCGTTGAAAGCTCTCTCTCTCTCTCTCTCTCTCTCTCTCTCTCTCTCTCTCTCTCTCTCTCTCTCTCTCTCTCTCTCTCTCTCTCTCTCTCTCTCTCTCTCTCTCTCTCTCTCTCTCTCTCTCTCTCTCTCTCTCTCTCTCTCTCTCTCTCTCTCTCTCTCTCTCTCTCTCTCTCTCTCTCTCTCTCTCCTCTCTCTCTCTCGCTCTCTCTCTCTCTCTCTCCCTCCCTCCCTCCCTCCCTCCCTCTCTCTCTCTCTCTCTCTCTCTCTCTCTCTCTCTCTCTCTCTCTCTCTCTCTCTCTCTCTCTCATCCAAACGATGCATGATTGCATTTCTTTAATTCTGTGCGATCATTTTGCAATGTAACATAGACGCCTCCAGCCCTTTATTTTTTCATCCTAGTCAACATAAATTAGGTACTCTATAATTATTCGTAAAGAGTTCGTCCAATAAATGTCGATGTCACCTTCATTTATTATTGAAAAGCCAATTCACCTTTTATTACACAAAATAGACATGACGGGTTTACCATTGTCGGATCAATTGCAAATGCAATTGCAAATGCCTACATAGTCCAATATCTCACAAATAACTTGAATATTCAAGTTCTTGAAGACTTTGCCCTTATAGCTGCCGAGACCTTGAAATCTAATTAAGCGCATGTGACAAGTCCTCAGAAATGAAGAAATTACATTCGCGCTCTCTTACTTCTTTTTGAAACATTTAGCACGATAACGGAAGTAGTTACATAGCTGCGACGCTAAAGCGACACCATGCCAAACATCCATCACAGGTATATAAAAAATACAAGCAACGCATTCACTAATGTGAAAACAATCAGCCTGGTCTGACTCGCCATGACCTCCGCGCTGACCTCTTCTACCGGTCTGAACTGCCGTCACGGAACTTAATGCAGCCTGAGCCGTATGCGTGACGCGGCCCGGCCTTGGCGTCCGCAGCGGCCTGCCGTGACGCGTCACGAGCCCGCCGGTCGTGACGCTGCGCAGCTTAGGCGCAGTCACCTGTCACCTGGCACCTGTCACCGACCGTATCAGTAACTAACTACATGCAGTCACATAGCCATTGTCAAATCTCCCCAGCGCTGCGGAACCACCCATCCAGACCACGTAGCTGTGTGGGCTCCGGAGTAGGGAGTCAGCAAGGACAGATGAGACAACCACTAAAACAGCTGCCGATCTCGTCAGCTGTTAATGTCCCGACGACATCGGCATCCGGTGTCGCCGCGGACCGGCTCCATTGTGTGCTCAGAACTGGGGTGGCTCGCCAGTGAAGCGGAGCTGCGGTTTGATGTCGTTTACCGGGAACGGATTGCCGGGCTGTGTACGATCGGACGTCGCCGCCGCTTCGTTGGGCGGCCCCTGGGGCGACTGGAAGCGCTGGGGCCGGACACCGGACGGCTCCGGCCGCCGCGCCCGTCCGCGCCGCAGCTGAGAGGCGTCAATGTACTGAACGCCGCGGGCGGCCGTCTCTCCGCGCTCCGAGCGAGCGCTGGCGCTGCTCGAGCGGGGAGGCCTGCCCTGGAGCTGAGCGGAGCCGCCGCCGCGACCTCTGAACCGCGCCGGAGCGCTGCTCTGAGCTATTCCACGCAGCTGGCGGGCGCCCGGACCACCGAAGCCAGACGACGGGATGCCGGCAAATCCGATATCGGCGGGAGATCCACCCTGCGGGCCTAGAAATGCGCCCGGAGGCAAACCGACGCCCGGAGGAACTCCCGGACCACCAAAACCGAGGGGTGCACCGCGAGGGAGTGGGCCCTGCTGCGTTAGACGCTCAGGGTCGATAAAGCCGCCTGAGGGACCGCCTTGAGGCCCCACAAACCCGTTGGGTCCTCCAAATGTTCCTCCACGGGGTCCGCCTGGTCCGCTTGGTCCACTGGGCCCGAAAGCGTTCTGCGGTCGTCCCGGGCCGAATCCTAGCGGCGGGATTCCCTGTGGTCCAGGACCATTGGGACCACGTCCGCCGGGGCCTCTCAGACCTCGAAATCCAGGCTGAAAGCCACCTGGTCCTCTGTTTCCTGGTCTGAACTTGTTTTGAACATCAGGCCTGCCTCCTGGTTGCTGCTGAGCACGCTGAAACTGGGCGTCAACGTCTCCATTCTCTTGGCGTGAGTCCCCAGACTTAGTGCTGGCTTTGGAGCGAGGCCTATCCAAAAGTTGCTGGTCCTGACCGGGACCTCCACCTCCTAGCTGCCCTTCGCGCTGCTGAGCGAAGGAGTGGCGTCCATCACGCAGCTGATCAAGATTCTGCAGGCCGACCGGTGCGCCGAAGCCCTGCGGTCCCCCTAGTTGGGAAGGACCAGGGGCGGGAGGTCTCTGAATCTGAGGTGGACCAAATCCGGCCGGCGGAGGTCCTCGGAACTGATTAGGTCCTCCTCGCTGCGGTCCTCTGCTGTCCAGTCCCCCAGTTGGGCCGCTGTTGATTCCCTGTTTGCCTCCGCGAGGGCCATCGAACTCGGGAGGAATACCTTGAGCCTCGGGGAACCCTTGCGGAATACCTCGGGGTCCTCCGAAACCGGTCGGCGCGGGTCCTCCAAAGCCCGGTCCACTAGGTGGCGCGGGCCCTCCGAAACTCGGTCCACTGGGTGGCGCAGGTCCTCCGAAACTCGGTCCACTGGGTCCTCCGAAGTTCGGTCTGCCCTGTTTACGTTGTTGGAAGTCTGGCGATGTGATCTGCTGCTTTGGGATGCCCGGTCTGGATGCACTCGGCTCGTCAAAGTCTGGGACGCTAGCCTGCTGCCTCACGACTCCTTGATCGGGCTGTGGCCGCCGGACTCGCTGCCGACCGCGCTGAGGAGCCCGCTGCCGCTGCCGCTCACTTCCGCTCTGCTGCAGACCGGCCTGCGGCCTGCCCTGCCTCGGCCCAGCGCCGAACTGGTCGATACTGTTGGGATCAGCATCAAACCCACTGGGCGACAGGGGGTCCAGGCTGAAGCGTTTCGCGTACTCCGGGTTTGACGAGTCGTTGTTGACCTGTTTGTAGAGGAAGTCGTTGACGAAGTGAAATTCGTTTGAGCGCTTGCAGATGTTGCCCTCGCCAGTGGGCTGGCAGATGAGGTTGATCTGATGGAAGCTCTGTCCGTCGGGACAGACCCAGGAGTGCTTCACGCCGGCAGCGCAGTAGTGGAAGACGGCGCAGTCGACCGTGTCGTCGGCGTAGTAGCCTGTGGCGCTCGGGTCGCACTTGAACTTGGAGATGGCCAGGAGCTCAGACAGTCGGTCCGGACTGGCGTCCTGCTGTCCCTCCTCGTCATTGTAGTCAAACTGAAACAAACCAAGAATAATATCGCCCGTTAGGGTTGTAGAAAACGATCCGATCCCACAACAATAAAAATATCTTCCCATAGGTAAAATGTCTGATTAACATCATATTAGTCAGATGAGTACCTAGTTGATGCCATGGTGGTTTTTACAGTCAGTTCTATGACCAAGCTCAGTAAGCCTAACTGACATGTTTATAAAATACGTAGGATATACGCCAACGTAACGTCTGTGTATTCAGCCTTCGACCTAACGGTGACGCCTCGGTTCAAAGCTTGTTCGTGTAACACGCAGAGGCTCTTCAGTAATCGCAGAGGTGACTCGTGGGTAACTGGAGCGACCCCGAGTTTCACACCACCCTCCAGTGCACCGGAGGGCGGGGATGGGGCCGCATCTAACGCTCGACGGGACACGCTAATTTCACTGCCACTGTCGGCGCC